CCTCGTATCGTGTTCGTTAACGCCGTGGCGGATCGGCACGTTGCTTGAATCAGTCTCGCGATTTGTCGCCGGCGAAAAGAAAACGTCCACTCTCGGCGCGCGCATTTGCATACCAGATTATTCGTTCATCGGGGCGCGCCAGATGTGTCGAGCCGCCCGCAGCAGCGGGCACGTAAAAATGAAATAAAAACCGGCGGGATGGAAAAAAACGGCCGAAAAAAGGGGGAAAAGGCAGGAGGAGGAGGAGGAGGAGGAGAAGAAGAACGAAAACGAGAGCGGCGGCGGCGGAAGGTTTCTCCGACCCAGATTCACTTTTGCCATAATCACGGCGCGTTGTTATAAACGGCGCGGTGGTAAATAAAAGAGAAAAAGAAGCCCTGCGCATCTGCCCGGTCGGCCCGCGAACGCGCAGCTGCGCACCTGTGTGACGGCACCGTTTTCCCATTAATTAACGATACGAGCAATTTGCCAAATCACGTAACCGGGCCGCGAGACGACGACGGGGACGATGACGACGATGGGGCCCTCCAATCTCTGAAGTTCACAGCTGGCGCCGTGTCGCACCGGCGAACTTTCGATTTTCTTCGGGGCCTCCTCGCGCGCGCTCCCGCACGCCGCCCGTAAAAACACGAAGCGTATACTTAAGGCAAATAATCCGTTTTTAATCCCGCCGCTCTCGCGTCCTGATTTACGACCCCACGGTTACTCGGCGTCACCTGTGATCTCCGCCTCGATGCGGGATGACGCGCGTGCGGGACGCGGCGTTTCATTACGAAGAAAATTATATCGAGCTAAGTGAATGCGCACGTTCTTCTTCTCTTCATCAGCCCTCGGTGTTCCTCGGTGCGATTGAATCGCGGAGTGACTTTTTTTTTTATGCAACGCTATATTTCACAGACGACACACACACACACCGAGGAAAAGATTTCTTCGAATTTAATACGTATTATTATTTTCTTCGCCGCTAATTTACTTTGAATAAAAACGGCATAGGAAATTCAGAAGAATTAACAAAAATAGAACCGGATCGGAGGTTGCGGTGGGAACTGAACTACCAACGAGCGCACGCTGTCTCGTGATTCTTGACGCGAGTCTCGAAGGTTTCCTTCCAAATCCGTCCGCCCACGACGAAGCGCGAGGACGACTCGCGAAAAGTCAATTGTGTCCCCATGTGCGACACAACGAGAGTCGTTCGGAGCCTTCGGGGATCTTAAATGGAAAATTTACAGGCGTCGCGGGGGCGCGCGAGTCCAAAACGCAAACGGTTTTGCATATCAAAGGCGACATTGCAAAGGCGATCGCGAGAACGTCACCGCCAGAAAGTCGCCGGGATTATGCGGGCCAATTCCGGCCGTGGAACATGATATCCTTTATGCAAATTTTGTGGGTGCGTGCAAGATCCGCGTGTGACGGCGAACGACATTGTGTAACCCGATTAAATCCGATAAAAAAGTCAATTAAGAAACGCGACCAAAAGCCGAGCGCACACGCAATTATGCCGCCGAGAAATCCTTTCTGCGATCCCGACGCTGCGATAAATTAAAAGGAAAAAAAAAAAAGAAAGAAAGAAAACACGCTGACTGCATTGTCCGTAAATGTGATTGCAAATTGTATTTGGGTCGCGACAGTGGTTTCTCTGTGTATAACGCAAAAAGGAAACGAGGGAGAATTCTCGACGGTGACGATTGGACTATTCAGTTGCGAGTCGAGTCATTGCGCGAAATGGGACTGTTTCGCGTATAAAAGTGATACACGTCAGTAGTAGTCGCGATAAGGATCGCTAAAATGACGCAAAAGTCTTAACTAAGGAGAAGCGCACAGTTCAATCTCGCATCTTTCGTGAAGACTGAGTAATCAGATAATTATTATATCTCCTTTGAAGCTTAATTAACTAATTAATCTAATCGCATTGTTGTGAAGGAAATGGTGTGTGTTCGATCACGTACGCAGAAAATACCGAGGACTCCCCGTTGCGACAAGAAGCGTACAAGTGATGCAAAAGTAATAATTAGAAAGCAAAGGTAGTCTCGCACACTGCAGCAAGCCTGAAGCGACAAGATACGTGTCTCGCCATACTATTAACTCTATAATGGTCGAGCGGGCAACAGGTGTTATCCATGCACACTACAATGCATTTCTCGAAAAATACTGACACTCATCTTGCGCCAAAGGACTCGTCCGTTTTAAATAAGATCTTTCATGATTGTTATGTCCATATAGATGCATATCATTACTTTTTAAAGCGACTTTTTTTATCGAAAATGTTCACTTAAAGTGGAAGACAAAAGTGGAAGATTTGCGATCCACGCAATCAGTCGTGTTACATAGAAAACAAAATTAATATAAAAATTCAAGATTTATATTCTCATATATAAGCAGGAATATATAATCTCTTATATAAAGATCACACCAAAAAAATTAATATTCTCTTGCATAAGCAAGAATATATAATCTTGTGTAGAGGTGAAATTTGTTTATATGGAGAAATCCTATATAGTTTCACTAAAAATATCATATTCTTGTTGTTCAAGAATAATTTTCATTGAATTGAGAGGAAATGATATTGGGTAGAACGGACGATCTTTTCGAATTGAAAATTATATCAGATTAAAAGTATCGTAGAATTTCTTCATATAAGCAAACTTTATTTCCTTGCAAGATTATATATTTTTACTTATATATGAGAATATGTGAGATTTGAATTGATACTAATTTTTTTTATGTACACATGAAGAAATTCCGCTTTGATAAAAAATATTATATTCTTGTCATTCTAGAATCACTTTTATGAATTGAGAGAACAAATATTAGATAGAAGAAACGATATCTTCAAAGCGCTGCAATTTTTAGTTTGAAAATATCGTTCTTTCTATTCGATATGTTTTCAGTTTATAAAAATTACTCTCAAACAACAAGAACATAATATTTTTAATGGATCTATATAGAATTCCTTCATGTATAAACTGCGCAGGAGATTATATATATTCCTGCTTAATATGAGAATATGAGAGTCTTGAATTGACACTCCGTGTTTTTTTTCCGTGTAGGTGCGCGACCACTTCAAAGTTAAATTCGGGATCGAATTACTTTCCTTCCCCGCCCGCAGCGACCGAGTCGGTCTCGTCGCGCGGAATTCGGACGACGGCGTGGAGGCAAATAATCGAACTTGAAATCGAGATCGACCTTGATTCCGTACGGGCGTGGCCCAGCCATACGACTATATAACTCGACATGAAAGCACGCACGCGTGTGTGACACGCGCTCCGTCGTACTGGTAATATGCATATAGCGCGGCGATTAGCATCGATGTAGGCGGGGGGAGGGGAGAAGAGCTTCATTAGCATGAACACGACTGTCCTTCGCGATTGTATCGCGCGGTCCTTCGCACATTTATCCGCGTCTCTCCCCGTCTCTCCTTATTTCTTTTCGACAGGACCACTTTCGGTTTCGTCTCCCGCGCGCGAGCTCTCTCGCGGACTTTCTCGGCGAGAACCGACCGACTGCAAAATTATGTAAGCGCAAAATCGCGTTTGAATTACGCGAGAGGGGAATATCTATGCACTCGGGGCACGTTAATTGGCGATCCGGCAACATTTGCATTGCTAATTCGCGAGATTTAATAGGTCGACCTTCCCGAACTTGATCCAGTCGAAAGAGAGAGGAAGAAAAAAAGGGGGCGAGTTCCCGTTTCCCGCTCGATCGCGATTCGATACAGCCGTAAGATATTTCGCGGAGATCAGCCCGTGCGAATAGCTCGCTTCTTGTTTAATCAGAATCATTTTTGTCTAATTGAGATTAAGATACCGAGATACGCGACGTTCATACTCGTGGATCTCGCAGAGCGGCAAATCAACGATATCAATTACTTATATAAGTCGCGAGATGATAGGCGCTCGACGGGCTGTCGATTATTGCCGTGCGTCGCATGTGAGAAAACCGCGTCTCCGCGATTAAGCCTGATTTAGAAGCCGGCATCGCGAAACACGCGTCGGGACTTACATCATTGTTTATGTTCGCAAATACCGGAAGCCGTTTCTGGCGAGGGAACGAGTCGACGACACGGCGCCCGCGATGCCGAGAGTCCCGGCAAGCAAAACCGGCGCGTCGAGCTAACCCTCCTTAATAAAAGGACATTAAATCGCGACGCGGACGAGCGGGTTTCCGCGCGCGCACGCTCATGCGTGAAGGTATTAAACCACGGGATTAATCGGCGTTCACGGCCAACGTGAACCACGTAACCCGAAGCCGTGTCCGCTCTTATTACGACGACTAATGCGGTTGGCATGTGTTTCTATAATTAGCGTGATAATATCGACGCCTCCGCGTCGATACACTATTATATCGCGATACCATAGATCGGGAAAGGATCGGCGGGGGAACGATAGAATCCTGCACGCTCCGATAAACTTGAAGAATCTAACGTATAGAATTTACAAGGTAAAAAGTTATATATAAACAGTATTATTCTGTTCTGACGCTACAAATGGTTACTCACTGCGGTTTCCTTCATATTGAATAGTCCTTATAAATAAGCACTTATTTCAAAATTATTTATACACAGGAAGAAATTAGTATATCAATTCAAGACTTATTCTCATATATAAGCAAGAATATGTAATCTTATATAAAGATAATTGAAGATAATATGAGGAAGATGTATAGAATTTGATCTTAAAAAGATTCTATAAAGTTCTACTAAAAATATCATATTCTTGTTATTCAAGAAGAAATGTCATTAATCGAGAAGACAAAATATTGGATAGAAAGAACGATATCTTCAAGTCGATGCAATTCTTAATTTAAAGATATTGTTCTTTCTATATCGAATATATTTCCTCTCAATTCATGAAAAATATTCTTGAATAACATGAATATACTTTTAGTGAAAATATATCATATTTGTTCATGTAAGAACAAGACTTGATATAAGATTATTTATTCTAGACTATCTTGATATAAGATTATTTGTTCTAGATTATCTTGATATAAGATTACTTATTCTTGTTAATATATGTGAGAACACGAATCTTGAATTGATACTAATTTTTCTTTCCCTGTAATAAAAAAAAATATATAGAACAATAAACATTCTTCATTCATAGTGCATTCGCTACAATTTCTCTGTGTGTTGAAAATTTCGATAGGATTTGAAGATTTCTTAAAAAGAAGTGAAGAAGAAGGAATAAATACCTGTGAGGATGAAAAAAAGGCAGTTGAATATAATGCTGTGTCGATAATGCTGCGTATCAATAAATATTCAAATATGGATTCGGTACAACGACAATGCTAGACACGATTAAAGAGAAAGCGTTAGCGGATTCACGATGGAGTGGCCTTACGGCCTAAGAAGCGTTATTAGACGCAAAAACTGACACGCGAGATTTGATACTAAGAATTCAGCGAGCATTGTCATCTCTTTATCCCCCCTCCCACCATTTTCATCACCTACATGTATCATCAATTATACATACGCAAGTACACACATTATATTATCGCATTATCGCTCATCCTATTCCGATTGTGGGAAAACTACAATCTAGACAATAGCATTCATAGTTACACAGATATATATATATATATGTGTGGAAACGTACGTTACCTCCGTTCCCTCCGGATCCGCCATTTGTGTGCTCGAGTAACACGTTCGTGCCTGTTTTCAGTAACCGCCGCTTCCTCGCTCGACGCACGATCGACGATTGATTCGCATTTGTCAGACCCCGCCATTGTCCCCCGTCACCCACGACAACTTCCTGCGTGGATACGACGTTGAATCAGGGGTGAGATCGCGGCGCACCGTCGAAAAACGCCGACGAAACGTACGGAACCGCGGTGATCCGTTCAAATCGCGACCGCGCCATTACGCGCACACACAGGCTCGCCCGTTCGCGAGCGCCGTCAACGTCATTCGCATGAAAGCTGTCGACAAAAGCTTGAAAACATGGACACCCGCGGTGTCGCGCCGTGCACCGGACAACATCGTGTCCTCGGACTACACGACAATGAAGGTCTTCGTGCCCTCGTATGAAAAGTGCGTCGGCAGTTGATTCGAACGATAGAGACCAGCCTCCATAACCTTTGTGAAACTGTTCTCAATAACGAATTCGGTTGCTTGTACCAAGGCCTGTTCACAATCTGTTATATTTAAATATTATCATACATGCATTTTCAAATACTTTGAACCAGTAATATGACATATACAGCATTCGTACGCATCATTTTATTAGCTAAGATGTTTTTAAGTATGTATTTAAGACACGATCTTAAATATAAAAATGTACTGTAAACAAACCTTAGTGCGCATTCAATGTGCACTAGTATTTAAGTTATACACTTGTTTCACTCTAAGTGCAATAAGTGCAATCCAGTTCGGCTGACTTTTGCAAGACCAGCGCTAAAACATAAAAAAGAACAGACCCAATATATAATATATAATATATTTAGAAATAAATAATAAGGAAATGACAGTGACTAGCAATTATATATTAACTGAAAAAGTGTTACACCTGTTTTGTCGCGTTTATTACATGAATTACAGAGAATTGCGGCCTCGTATCGAACAACTGCTCACGAACGACTATCAGCGGATCTGGTGGAAAGAGAAGCAAACCTGGGACGAGAGGGTTGCTGAAAAAACTCCGGGCAAAATAATACTACCTCGTATGGTGAGCAATCTTTTCATGATTATCGTACAACTGCCACACGATCGAAATTGAATATTTCACAGCTGATCAAGAAGAAAGTTCCTACGTGCGTGACCGTTAAATATCGAACGCAGAGGGACCGATGGAAGGGAAGAAAAAAGCAGGATTCAAAATCCAATTTAAAGACAGAGGAGATTAAACAGGAGTCGACCATGAACGATTCGAACGAAGAAGAGTTAAAGTCCGTGGAAGACAACAATGGGAAATTAGAAAAATGCGAAGAAACGAAGTCAGAAAAGCTTAATGAAACGCAATTGGAGAGTGAGAATGAGAAGGAAGATGAAAGTAAAGAAGAGAGTGAAGGAGAAAAATACGAAGAAACGAAGTCAGAAAAGTATAAAGAAACTCAATCGGAGAATGAGAAAGAGAAAGAAGATGAAAGTAAAGAAGAGGGAGAAGGAGAAAGTCATATTGATTGATTTTATTTAGCTCATCAAATCATACGAATTAATTAACGAGAAATGGTACTGTTTCCGTAATAAACATTATGGAAAAAAATAAATGCAACATTAAAACTATACAATACTTTGTACTTTACTTCCGTACTTACTTCCGTTACTTCGAGACCATTCCTAATTACGTATTGGATTGTAAATACGTTGCACATAAAAATTAAACTATTACTTCCTTCTGTCATAAAAAATCGACAGAATTCAACGGACTATAATTTGTCATTGAGTATTACTATTTAAAAATAAGTTGATCTTAAAGGCATAAGTTTTAAGCAGTAAGAAACTGACTGATCACAATTGATTATTCTTCTGTAATTCAAGTATCAAACCTACAACAGGTGTAGTAAGCTTTAAGCCGTAAGAAATTAACTAATTACAGTCGAATTATAGAAGAATGATCAATTGTAATTGGTCAATTTCTTATAACTTAAAGCTTACTACATTTATTCAGAAAGAAAACTGAAATGTGGTCTATAATAGGCAGTAAGAGTATGTTAACAAGAAGTAAGAACAAGAAATTAATCAATTATAGTCGATTATTCTCCTTATATTTAAATATGATTGGTCAATTTCTTATTCTTATGAAACACACTCCTACCGTCCACTGCAGATTACACTTGAGAACGGCCACGCATTTACGGTTGGTATTACATACGATGAGCCTTGTCGGATATGCCGATTGGCGGTTAGATAGAGAATTTCTAGGGAAAAATTTAGGGACCCTTGAAATTCTCTATCCAATAGCCAATCAGCACACCGACAATACTCGTCGTATAACGCATGTAATACTAGACTTACTTGATGCCGCTTTTCACGACTGCTTGATACGCCATCTACGCATATTTATATCATATGTTAGTGGCTTTCACACAGTTGATGTGAGTTCGTGAGTGAACATGTCGCCGGTGCGAGAGGTTTTGCGTGATTCCAGCGGTGATTCTGGTATGCAAACATTGATCATTTTACACTTATGCTGTTCTGCAAAAATTCTACAATTGTGCATGTGAATTTTTACATCAATTTAATACATAGAAGCACCAATCAGTTCGTTCGGTGATACAATTTTTCAGGTTATGTTCGGATACACAATATGCAGTACGTATTCTCACCTCGCGCGATTCTGTTTCCAGGATCAGAATCCGACAATGCCTCGGCCTCTTCGAGATCGAGTCGCAGCGGCAGCCCGACGTCGCAGGCCCCGGTACAGGTGTCAAACAACACCAGGAGCGAGCAGAACTCTGAGGATGAAAACGGAGCGCGTTCCGTCGTGTCCAACGCCAGCGGCAGATCCTCGAGGTCCAGCAGCCAGACAATCGAGTCGAACAAATTGGACGGCAGTCGCAAGTCGGAGAGTCCGTCGCCGCAGAGATCAGGATCCAGGCGTTCCAGCGTCGGCTCTGTTCAGAGTGAAAAATCCGGCTCTCGCCGATCCAGGAGTGCCACTCCGAAGTCAGTAGCCTCCAACAGCTCGGAGTCTCAGAAATCTCCCAGATCACACTCGCAGTCTCCGCGCGGAAGTGTGCGTTCAACGAGTTCAAAATCACCCGTCAGTCCAAGATCCGTGCAGTCGGAAGCAAGGTCGCAAGAGAGGAAATCGAAGACTCCAGCTTCGCCTGCGTCCAACGGCTCTGGTTACGACTCACCGAAAAGTCGTAGGTCCAGGAGTGTCTCTTCTCAGAGAAGCAACAAGTCGGCGGGCTCGGCGAGTCAGCATTCCCCGGCAGAAAGACGCTCGAAGTCTCCCGCGTCTCCTGGAAATGTCAAGTCGTTCGACGAGTCTGCTGAGGGAGTGAACTCGGAGAAATCGGATACCAAAAGATCGCAATCAAAAAGTCCCAAGGATGACAAAAGCGATAATGAGTCGAACAGGTCTTTCAAACAGACTGGTTTGTGATATTTTATTTTATCATTTCTAATAATAATAATAATAATATTACAAGATAATAAGATATTCAACGTACATATAGTTCTCGTCTGACACTTCTCGATAAATTAGAAATTATATTTGTATAATCTAACGTTGAAATTTTTTTTCTAATTAGATAATAATCGGAGTCCAAGGTCCGACGAGAGCGACAACGAAGCACGATCGAGAGTCAAACGAAAGAGCAGCGGATCCGGCTCGGAGACGGAGGAAATGAATCAGAAACGATCTAAGATAATAGACTCAGATTCCGAGAATGAGGCGGCGGATAAGGAAAATAGCATTGCTCCGACCGCGGACGCGTTGTTCGGCGATGCGAGTGACATTAGTACGGACGACGAGAAAGACAAAAGGGAAGAGGAAGAGAAGGAGAACGAAAGGGATCATAGGGAGAGCAGAAGTAAGAGCAAAAGCCGTAGCAGAAGCAGAAGTAGAAGTAGAAGTCTCAGTCAGGGGAGATCCGAAAGCGGCGGAGAGGGTCCGAGCCATCGGGCTCTTATTGAAGATGTAAGTTAATGAAATGGATATTATATTTTTCTCGCCTTCTTATATAATACAACGCCACTTGTATTTATACCAGAATAGACTTATATTAAAAGATTATAGATGTTCTAATATGAAACGTGTTCTTCGTGTAGGACGAAGATAAAGATAAAGAAGAAGAGCCGGAGCCACCACCGGAGACTAGAATTGACGTGGAAATACCAAAAATCACCACCGACCTTGGACGTGAGATTCATTTTGTAAAGTTACCGAACTTCTTGTCCGTCGAGACAAGACCGTTCGATCACGAGACTTATGAGGATGAAATCGATGAGGAAGAAACTCTGGACGAGGAGGGCCGGGCTCGTCTGAAGCTCAAAGTTGAAAACACACTGAGATGGAAGGAGACGTTCAACGATGAGGGCAAAGTAGTGAAAGAGAGTAACGCGAGATTCGTCAAGTGGTCGGACGGTAGCATGTCGTTGCATCTGGGCTCGGAAATCTTCGACGTGTACAAACAACCCTTACAGGGCGACCATAATCACCTCTACATTCGCCAAGGTACCGGTCTGCAAGGTCAGGCGGTGTTCAGAACGAAGTTAACTTTCAGACCGCATTCTACGGAGTCGTTCACGCATAGGAAGATGACCATGTCGTTGGCCGACAGATCACAAAAAACTTCCGGCATCAAGGTTCTTTCTCAAGTCGGAATGAACCCGGATCAGAACAGATACGAGATGATGAAGGTATTTTGCCGTTACGCTAAATCGTACAACCTGTGCTTGAGATCTTCGGGTGGTCGGATTATTCGAACTACGAAGAATTTCAAGTTCACGATTCAACTCCAAATCTGTCCGAATCTTTCGAACTTGAAGCTAAATTTCAATTGCCTGGACTGTCCGAACCTAAAATTTCAATATTTTTAACAACCTGTTGATTGATTGAATTCAAACTATTCCAAAATTTAAGGTTTACGATTGAACGATTCAAATATTTTGAACTGTTTGTACAATTCGAGATCGCACAGTCTGTCCGAATTTTCCGCGCTAATTCCAATTATAACTAACTGATGTCATATGTCGTTAACTGTGCTCTTTCTAGAAAGAAGAAGAGAAACTACGCATGGCCATGCGAGTCCAGAGCAAAACGAAGAAGAGCATCGGAGGTACCAGGAATACTGGCCGTGCTGCAGGAGCATATAGCGGCGATCCTTATCATGACGACGGCTCCGACGATGAGGGTGCGATTTCGTTAGCAGCCATAAAGAATAAATATAAAAAAGGAGCCGCCGCGATTGCTGCTAAAGGTTGGTAACTAAATATATTTTTTATTTTGTATATTATAAAACTTATTATTTATGAATATTATTTTTGTACGTTACATAGGCAGATTCCACTTGACGCTCGCAACGACGCGATCGTCAAGCGGAACTTGTTCTATATTGTGTCAAGATACGAAATTTCTTTAGATTATAAATCACACAATATTTAAGACGTTACGAAGGGAGAGCGATCAGTCTAATATTCAATTACAGGAAAGATTTCAGTATTATTCGGTAAGAAATAGACGTAAGCCGATACGTTTTATGGATATTATCTAGAAGAATCCTTTTCAATTACAGCAGCCTCGAATATATATTCTTCGGATGAGGAGGGATCGGACTTTGAGACACTTAGGCCTAAGAAGAACTTCAAAGGGAAGGTACTTAAAGATTCGGACGAGGAATCCAACTCAGAAAGTTCCTCCGAGAGCGGCGGAGACGACAATCAGGTTGAAAACGCAAGCGATTGAAATGTACATATATATATAAATATATATATAGATGTTTATATCTTGAAAGAAAAAAATCAATGTTCGCTAATACATAGATATAATAAGGATAAATAAATAAAGCAAAAGAAGAGGAGGCGAAGGCGAGTGAATATTCCAAAATTAATAACCGGCAGCCAAAAAATTCATAATTTTGTCCGGTAGAAGAAATAAGACGTCTTTGAGACGTGTGTGTTGTGTGGGGAATTTTTTGCTTCTGCAATAATAGAAGATAAATATTGACCAAATAATTATTAAATTTATTTGGCAAAAAGTATCCACTTTCTGATAGAGAACTTATAGTTTATTTCGCACATATTAGTTTTCAGCAAATTTATATAGCTCTGTCTTTGAATATATTCTAGTAATCGGACGAAAGATACGGTTAAAATCTTCAATAATTGAAAAAGCGCTTTTGTTAAGAATCCTTTGCTCTCGACCTTGATTATTTTTACCGTCATGTTTCGTTAAGCGTAGTTAGAGCTACTCGACGAGAGTTGCGAAATAACAATACACGTATAGTTTTAAAATAACAGTGTCCTGTAATGTTTTAGTAAGACCTTAATGTTCACCATATAACATATACAAGTAAGTTCGCCTGATGAAGTCTGGATCCTTCCGCCGTAATGCAACGGGAGATCTCATTACGAAGTAGAAACGGCACCATTAAGTAAATAAAATCCACGTCGGGGGATTTTGCGTTAATTTTAAGTTACTTACAATCGACCACCGTCAAATTCTACCGTGCCGAGGGATTTTTACGAAGCGTTCAGAAAACGATAGATATTCCGTTGCATACAATCAAATCTTACAGTTTGTGTAAAAAAAAGGGGGGGGGGGTGAGATGGGAATCGACCTGCTCTCCTGCGGAGGGGAAACAAGCCCGATACGATACGATATTCAGACATAGGATACATTTAGTCTTCAACAGTTATGCGTTATGCATTACGAATCGCTAGATATTTCCGTGAAAATAATTAATTGTTGCTTATTGGCAGGTATATTTACTCGATATCATTGTGTTTGTCGCTGATCCGAATCAGAAGATGGCCGATTTGACTAGACTACGGTTTTGAAGTGGTAATTCTCAACGATATCCTATATAGAAGCGCTCGCTCAGGTCACTCTACGTCGTCCGTTATATTATTATAGTTTGTGAATTCTAATTTAAACTAGGATTTCGTTCTATGTCCCACTGTATCTCAATCCTTGGCCACTTTGTCTGCAGGACTGTCAGCATAGGATTACTATCCATGATACACTTCACAGTGCACTCAAGCAGCACCGCCTGTCCCTTGTGATACTTCACTCTATTCTCCGGATTGCTGCGTTGCAGACCGTTGTAGTGATAAAGGACAAACGTATCCGGACACATGCAACGTTCCTCGGGGAAAAACTCATCCATGAACGATGCGAGAAGTATTATCCCCAGATTCTCATTGTCCAGCTTCTTCCTCATAATGTCGACGCTACGACGATAGACGAGAAATTAGAAGTTCAAACGTTTCCAGACGACAAGACGACGGTTGATATGCCGAGGCAAAGAGATGAAATTTTCACCATATTACATTATTTGTCGACATTAAAGTAATTCTTACGAGAAGAATACGTACTATTCCGCATCGGCCACCAATCCTAATTCTGCCAACACGTCCTGCAGTAAATTCGCCGAGATAAAGTTGTTTCCTTCCGGATCGAAGCGTTTGAAGATTCTTCGTGCTTGTTCCGCCGGTGTCTCCGGGCTTACTAACCGCTTCTCGGTGGAGAAGAGCACAGTTAAATGCGTTTCCGACCCCAGCACCCAGATAGAGTGCGACGGCGACTTCAGAAATGTTCCCACTTCGCAGTATCGTAAGTGCTCCAGGAGAGCCAGGAATCCCACCGTATTCTGTTTATCTATGCCACGTAATTCTACAAAATACATAATTAGAACATGAGAAAGAATCCCTCTCCAGCGGACAGTTTCTAGAATATACGATGGTTTTCGTAAGGTTTAATAATTTAACTTTGACAGATTTCCGAATTTTACTCGGCGATGTCATTCGTGAAACAGCCTGGTGGTGGAAGTGAGAGAAGAGTAACAAAGTTAAAAAGATACTCAATACAAAGGAAGGAAACGTAAATCTCACTTAGCCCGCCGATATCTTGATCGTGATCCCAAACGTGACTAACTGCTCGACCAGTCAGCATCAGATTGATCAAACTCTGGCTGCCGTATCCGTAAGTGGAATCGATCATGGGTTCCGTGGGATCTGACATTTCCGAGCATATTCCTGAAATCCCCTTTGTACATATGACAGTGTAGAGTAGCAGTAATACACCGTATTGATCTTTCAACATTCCGATTTGCTCCGTAAACAAGTTCTCCACATCGTCGATGCTATTTGTGGTGAGTATCCTGAAACGATAAAACGTGATTAATGGTGAAGACGCGTTATTAAAAAGTTTAATAGTTCCTTCATCAGGTCGAAGGAATACGTTCGGAAACGTACCTCAGCTGAGAATGAAAAACCTCCGATTCTAACGGCGTTTGTTCTGTGACTTGCGTTTTGCTAGTTTGGCTACTTTCGCTAGTATCCTCAGCCGAATTCACCATAGATTCCGCGGATTTAGGATCAGAAGCTTCTTTACTAGACGCACAGACGTTCGAGTGATTAGTGTACACTACTGAATACTTAGGATCCTGGGTATCGGCGGCTTGACTAATAATTTCAACCATTGCTTTTACAAGTAACTGATCACACTTGTCAACCTCGATGGCCTTCCAAGTCACGACATCGCCCTCCGGTAACAACTGCTTCAAAATAAATGCCTGAACCGGGGCTATCACGGCACAAGGCCCTCCTTCTCTTTGTACAAGCGCAGTGGGTTCGTCCACGCTGAAGGAAAAGCCTGTAACAGTGATATATGTATTAATGATTTCATCAATAGAATGTAACGAGAGGTATACGATACCTCGAATTATCGGTTCTATCGTGCAATGTTACATGTGAATAGAAATATGACTATAATTGTCATTGATGATCGGCCATTACGCCGACGTGACACACAACCACCAGATCGTGATTTTACACGCGAGTTTCCATGCGAAATTACACGATCGGCGTGCATGCGAGATTATGTTTCCGTCTCACCTTGCGCCCATCGCTTGAAGACGTCCTCTTTGACCGTCGAACCCCAAAGCAGTGTCTTGATGTTTTTCAGGAGCTCGTCGTTGCTTGTGATAACATTTTCGGCCATTATCCCTGGGAATGCACTCAATGTACGGGAGATTACAACGCACCGTGCACACGAATTTTATCTAGAGTAGACCATAATATTTCCTAGGGTTTCTCGTTAAATCTCACGCGATACCAGAAACATGCAGCACACCCCGATAACCTATTTTGTACAACAGACAACTGCCAAGTGCGGCGCCATTTTGGTCCTTTTCTTCTTTGTGAAATATGCTCGAGAGTGTGAATCCGAGTGAGATTCGGCTTTCCACGCGGACAATCGATATATCGTGTGTCGAATCACAGAGCGGCCCGATTCGTATCGTCGATGATAACTGCGAAGAAGTGGCTGGTAATTTCTTCGTTACCGCCAAATCATCTCGGGCGGCAGTTGATAAGACAGAAATTTCGCATATCGACTGCAGCGCGCGAATAGAGAAAAACGATTATGTTAGAATATTCTTTTCAGCAGAGGCAACCGACGAAATAATATGAAAAATTATTAGCTCTATGGGATTTAGCGTAACAAAAAACGTGCGTCACGCCAAATCTGTTCAGTCACTTCCCGTCGCAAAATCGTGTGTCAAATCAGAATAAATGACAATGAAAAAAATGACGTCATCCGGATAGCATATGTCATTCATATATATTATATTTATATTGGATATGCTGTGTGAATATACGCAACATATTGAACAAATTCCTGCAACAACTTTCGTAGTATATCATATCTCGTATATTTTTGGAACATATATTCAGGATATATTAGGTTGGTGCGTATGAAATGTCGCATTCTCTTTACATGCGGACGTTTTCCTCCCTGTTTTCGTTATACTTTTGTATTTGGCATAACCTCATTCATACTCGTATTGTCCATTGCCAGAGACTCATTTCAACAAAATAGGTTTTCTCGAAGGTCTTCCCTTTTTTATTTCTTTTGAGTTTATTACCGATATGAATTCTGCCGACATTCGCGTCATTTTCTTATATGAGTACAAACTTGGTAATAGTGCTGCAAAAGCTGCACGCAACATAAACCAAGCGTTTGGGGAGAATACG